AGGCAAGACGTCCAAGTTGTTAACGTCGACGTTAATAGGATCAAACTTATTCCCCGTAGGAAGATCCTATTTAACCACCGTTCGTTGTCAGAGAACATTGTGAGAGGCATCGAGAGTGCCATAGAAAGCTCCATCAGTGCTGACCCGGGGGTGTGGGATAGACCTGAGCTCGTTCTTGCACCGGTTGATCCCAACGTCATCGTCGGGGGGCAGGGAAGGCGAATCACGCCGGACGAGTTCTTCCAAAGAGATTCTGCAGAGTTCGACTGGTATGTTGTCTGCGGTCAGCACACTGTCGAGGCCATGAAACGGTTGGTTAGAAAGGACTCCCCTGCAGTCAAAGTCTACGGCCTCCGCACGTACTCTAAAGTGCGAGTCGTCTTTTTCGATGATGACCACACACGCGGGTACTTCAATGTCTCCCTCTTCGACAACACACAGGAGAATCGCGCCATGATGTTATCCTTCCAAGACGTTGTGTGTGATATGCGGGAATGGTGGATCGACAACAACAGGATCGAGGCACCCAAAGCTAAGGTTAGCAAGAAGGATGCCGTCGCCGTTGCACATCAAAAAACGTGGCAGAACTTCCTTAGGGCCTGCATGGGGAAGGCGTGCGACAAGGCGTTCGTGAAACAGACACTCGACAACGAATACAACAAGGATTGGAGTAACAAACTTCGGGGGTACCTGAACCTCGCCACATTCACCCGCACGGTTTGGCCGCTGGTGGAGAAGTTCTTCGCGATGTTTGAGGAGGGTAAGCTGCCAATCGGCGACGGCAAGATCCCACTTGAGATGCCGGGGAGGATGGAGGGGCGCCTGCCCGGCCCGCACACTGACGAGAACAAGGGAAAATGAACTTTGTACCACTGCATATATGCGAGAGATGGTCCCAAGGGCTCCACCGTGTCCTGGAAGGATTTGTGTCCTACGTACTTCAAGAACTTCGGGGACATGACATGCCGCGAGAGAGAAGTCGTGCTACTCCTGCTCATGTCGGGGAAAGTGGTGGCAACAAAAGTGAGAGTCACGCCTCCGAGGGTGAACATAGAGTGCCTCCTCGACATTATGCGCAAGGAGAGATACATGGTCCGCATGTTCAACTACGTCGTGTTTCGCGCCGAGGGAAGGGCAGGGGACGAATGGAACGACGACTTCTTCATGTCGTACAAGGACCTGGAAGAGAGGTATGCTTCAAACGGGTTATGCGCAGATGAATGGGAGAAGCAACGGGAGAAGTTGCATAGCAACTTAGTGAAGACGATCCCTCGGCGACTTGAAGGAGTGGAGGAGGCGAGGCAAGGTGCGGGCTTGGGGCCTACAGAAGTAATGTACAAGGAGGCTCCGTTTCACTTCAAGGTCTTTATATACACCACGATCGATAAGCTCGATATGCTTCGAGCGGAGGTGAAACGGATCGCCTCTTGTGCACGCCATCTTGTGTGGGACAAACTCAGCAGGCCGACCATATTGCTTCCTGTATGCATGCGGTCAAAGGAGGTTATGGCGGCGTCCGTCGACATCGTCGCAGCCACACAAAAAATGGCATGCAGGGCCGCCATCGTGGACATCTCGGCCACGAATTTCAACAGTGCATAGACCTCGCAAGACTTCGATGCATTGTACGCAATGATGGCGAAGTGTTGTGGCCCAAATTGGGTCCTCTTCTTCTTTGCACCGCAGAATGTGCAAAGCGATGTCTTGCATCAATTGTACCGTTGGGAGGACATCGAGCTCATCCCCGGGTCATGGAAACGCGTGGACAGGCCGCCGAGCGACGTCACAAGGTACGACAACATCGCTACGAGCAGTCGGGACCTGATGGCGATCGTGCTGGACGCTGAAGGAGGGGATCTAAAAAAAGTAACTGTCGCACCCCGACTTCACAACGATCTCACCGAAGTGCATGTTGTGGAGGAAAAGTTCAGGAAGTGTCTCGGAAAACACGGTGGCGTCGAGGGCGACGAAAGTGCCGCATATTCAATTTGGGAGCGAGAACCTGGCAAGTTGCGAAAGTTGTGCGGTTCATTCGTAGGAGAGGCGGAAGCTGTGCTTTTGCTGGGTAGGGCGCACGTGAGTCTTGTATGGAAGTTATTGCTTGCAGGTAATAATGCCATTGCTTGTGACGAGTCGGCCAAGGACATTGCATACTTGACAAAGTTTGTCGACATACTTGTTAAGGATGGGAGATTCGAGTGCCGCCTCGAGAAGCCTCGTGCCCCACATCGCACGAACAGGGATATGTACCACAAGTTGGGACCGAAAAGACTGAAGGTGTGGGAATACATGTTCCGTGATGCGCCGGATGGACGCCTTGATGGGGGATACATATATAGGAAAGCCAAGGTGACCGAGGCCCTCAAACATTATCACAGTGCTCTAATTGGAGCCTTCGAGACATTCGTTGCTCGATACGAGATCTTGAGGTTTGATCTTCACAAAGATAAACTGACGTTTAAGAACTATGTAGACCTTGCTAAATCGGGTAAAGGCTTTAACCCCGTTGACAGCGAGGAAGACTCGTCGGACTCCGACCTCGAGATCGAAAAGGACACCAATGCAACCGGGTGGTGTGGGAAGTCCGCTGCCATGGAGCACAACGTCAAGGGATATGGACCGGGTCAATCAGAGGGATGCTCGAACCTGCCACCCGCGAAAAGTGTGGCCTCGGGTGTGGACCGGGTTGTATGTACGCATGTGGAAGACGACGAAGACGATGACCTTGATATTCCTGCTCAGCCAACGAAGAAGGTGCCAGGCGATCCGATTCCTCCCAGATTTTGTGCGGATGCAAACAATGTGTATTTCTTGGATGACAAATACGCCTGCACTAGTGAGGACAAGTGGGGCCATGATATCATTTGGCATGACGGCATTTTTGAGCCATGTATCCAAGGCGGGAAGTGGAAAATGGCGGTGACGTATGTCTCGAAGGGTTGGAGACCGTTTCCCCGCATGGGAAAGGATAACTGGTTGAAGACGACGGAGCAATCAATACTATAGCGCTGTCGGAAAGAGAACCCCGGGGAGAGTGAAACATCCATCGCGGCAAAGGCGAAACAATTGTTCGACGCCTTGGGAGCCACTCGACAGTTAGAGTACTCACACAAGTTTTACGAGCTGTAGTCGAGCCCCTAGTACGACAAGATTGACTGGAAGGTTGAGCGCGCTGCCGCGCTCGAGAGCATGGACGTGGACTCCCAAGAAGATGCCGCCCCTGTGCCCGAGGCGTCCACATGGAACACGATGAGTGAACAAAGGGAAGATGGCGGGACGACGTTTGGCGTGAAGCCTCCGTTGCCAGAGGCGGGGAACACGCCCGTAGGCAAAAACACCATCGGATCCATCTCTGTTGCAACAGGGGATACATCACAAGGTGAAAAAGTGTCACTCGACAAGCCGGCAGATGCGGGCGCCACATACGGAAGTCTCCTCGCGACAGGTGTGGCGCTGGCAGGCACATCGGAGATGGTGTCAGAGTCCACTGCTGGGATGGGCGTCACGGGGATGTCGTTGCATCCGCCCACATGCACTAGCAAAGGTTACGCACACTGTACAACAACACCACAGGGAAGGGTCACAGGGGATAACAGGAATGGGGGAAATGCAGGGGGGTCTCCACGTTCTCGCAATATTGAGGACATGACGACGGACGATGAGGATGGGGTAGAAGGCGGAAAGGGCGTGAGCGATCCCACGCGTGCAGAAAATGAGGGGTGAGACAGGGAATGATCTTGAGGGGAATCCTCTTCGCGGGGAAATTTAATGTTTTCGTGTGTGTGCTCATTTGTTTGAAATTTGGGTTTGTAGGTGGAATTTATTCCTGTGTACAATCGACCTGCAGACTCATTGGTGTTCAATTTTCGGGATTTGGCCTTTTAATTGTTGACAAAAGTGTGGGGTGAACAATAGTGTGTCGTAGTATGCGTGGATGTCTCTCTCTATTCGTCAATATGCTGCGTTGTGTATATGCATGTATGTCGTTGGGGTACGGTGATGAAAGGGGGCAGGAGCCAAGATTGATTGGTCCCGAAGTGTAGTCGTTCATCTAAGTGTAAGTTTAGCGAAACATTGATGACGTATCTTGAATACATCATTTTCGTTTAACATATTATGCTAAGGCACTTGCCCATGTACAAGTATCTCAAATGGTCGCCCTCCCCATTTTTTACACCGCCTGCCCACCCGTTTCTTACTTTCCTGTAAGGGCGAACATTTTTTACACCCCTGTCCGCCTCGATCACCGTTGTTTACACCGCCGTCAATGTCGTATTCGTCGTGTTTGTCGTGTGTAGTGCAAATTACAACAACGGATACAAGAAAGTGCAAAAGAGGGTGGACAATGCGCCTCGCAACATCGTCTTTATCAGAGAAGGAGATGAAAGCACTCTCACATGTTTGCCGGGAGTACGGGAAAAGGTTCCCGATAGCGAGCACACACAATCATCGGACGAACGAAGTACTGAAGCTAACTCGAGACAAATTTATTTTACTAGTCGACGAGCGGAACTGGTTAAATGACAACGTC